AGGGGGAGGGGATGGAGGACCAGAGCTATGAGACAAGGGGGAGGGGATGGAGGACCAGAGCTATGAGACAAGGGGGAGGGGATGGAGGACCAGAGCTATGAGACAAGGGGGAGGGGATGGAGGACCAGAGCTATGAGACAAGGGGGAGGGGATGGAGGACCAGAGCTATGAGACAAGGGGGAGGGGATGGAGGACCAGAGCTATGAGACAAGGGGGAGGGGATGGAGGACCAGAGCTATGAGACAAGGGGGAGGGGAGGGGATGGAGGACCAGAGCTATGAGACGAGGCTTCTGACCTTAAACATGTTTACGCTGGAATTAAGGAGATTAAGGGGGGATATGATTTTCATGTACAAGATGTTCAATGGTGACGGCAACATTGGCAACAAACTGTTTGAGATTAACTCCATTACAAAGACTAGAGGCCGCCACCTAAAGTTGGTGGAGAAAAAATTCCAGCACAAGGGGCGAAGAGGGTTCTTTACAGTAAGAGCGGTTAAGGTCTGGAACTCGCTGCCATCGGCCGTCATCTCAGCCAAGAGTGTAGATTTGTTCAAGAAATGTTTGGACAATTTCTTGAGGGACCGTAATATCCAGGGGTACCAGTATCCCTAAGAATGAGATGATGCGCGGACCTATATGGGTTGGACTTGATGGACGTATGTCTTTATTCAACCCCAAATACTATGTAACTATGTAACCATGGAAATACCATGCGGATACGTCATGTGATGAACGCTTCGCTGACTATTTAGAAGATTGCCCGCCGCGGGGCCGGGGTGACTCACCCTTCAGCGCTAACCGTTTTTCTTAACGCTTTTTTGACTAAATGCATCCACAGCTCGTCCTTCCTCCTGTAAAACATCAAACAGCTTCCAGCTATAAAAGGAGACTCAAATGTTACAACACACAGAACTCTGTGAAATCCATCGTCACAGCCGGGAGCTTGCCGGATTGTGATTGGTGATGCCGAGAAAACCAAAATGCCGAGTTCAGTTCTCTGGATGCAGTGTCACCCCTACCAGGCAGAGGAAGGGCCGAGATGGCTGCTGGGGGGAGCATTCTTCTCTCTTCTCCCTCCAATGGCAGCTTAGTGTGGGTAAGGCACCGTCCTGCTGGGAATACAGATGCACGCTGGGGAGGGTGGACTGCTCTTCCATACTTGACGTGTGCCAAAACTTCACCTGTGCCTATCCCATAACCCCAAAACCTCACCTGTGCCTATCCCATAACCCCAAAACCTCACCTGTGCCTATCCCATAACCCCAAAACCTCACCTGTGCCTATCCCATAACCCCACCTGTGCCTATCCCATAACCCCAAAACTTCACCTGTGCCTATCCCATAACCCCAAAACCTCGCCTGTGCCTATCCCATAACCCCAAAACCTCACCTGTGCCTATCCCATAACCCCAAAACCTCACCTGTGCCTATCCCATAACCCCAAAACCTCGCCTGTGCCTATCCCATAACCCCAAAACCTCGCCTGTGCCGATCCCATAACCCCAAAACCTCACCTGTGCCTATCCCATAACCCCAAAACTTCGCCTGTGCCTATCCCATAACCCCAAAACCTCACCTGTGCCTATCCCATAACCCCCAAACCTCACCTGTGCCTATCCCATAACCCCAAAACCTCACTTGTGCCTATCCCATAACCCCAAAACCTCACCTGTGCCTATCCCATAACCCCAAAACCTCACCTGTGCCTATCCCATAACCCCAAAACTTCACCTGTGCCTATCTCATAACCCCAAAACTTCACCTGTGCCTCTCCTATAACCCCAACACTTCACCTGTGCCTATCTCATAACCCCAAAACTTCACCTGTGCCTCTCCCATAACCCCAACACTTCGTCTGTGCCTATCCCATAACTTCGCCTGTGCCTATCCCATAACTTCGCCTGTGCCTATCCCATAACCCCAAAACTTTACCTGTGCCTATCTCATAACCCCAAAACGTCACCTGTGCCTATCCCATAACCCCAAAACTTCACCTGCGCCTATCCCATAACCCCAAAACGTCACCTGTGCCTATCCCATAACCCCAAAACTTCACCTGCGCCTATCCCATAACCCCAAAACGTCACCTGTGCCTATCCCATAACCCCAAAACTTCACCTGCGCCTATCCCATAACCCCAACACTTCACCTGTGCCTCTCCTATAACCCCAACAGTTCACCTGTGCCTATGCCATAACCCCTAAAACTTCACCTGTGCCTCTCCCATAACTTCACCTGTGCCTATCCCATAACCCCAACACTTAACCTGCGCCTCTCCTATAACCCCAACAGTTCACCTGTGCCTCTCCCATAACCCCAAAACTTCACCTGTGCCTATCCCATAACCCCAACACTTCACCTGTGCCTCTCCTATAACCCCAACAGTTCACCTGTGCCTATCCCATAACCCCTAAAACTTCACCTGTGCCTATCCCATAACCCCTAAAACTTCACCTGTGCCTATCCCATAACCCCTAAAACTTCACCTGTGCCTATCCCATAACCCCTAAAACTTCACCTGTGCTCCCCATAAACTCAACACTTTGCAAATGCTTCTCCCCCACCAACACTTCACCTGTGCTCCCCTATAACCTCAACACATCACCTGTACTGTCTGCATAACCCCTGTGCCTCTCCTAAAAATATAACAAGTCACCTGTGCTTCCACCATAACCCCAACACTTCCCCTGTGCCTTAGCTTGCATTAATGCAATGTAAAGACGTGATCCCAGCCTAAATTTAACCTAATAAACCCCCAAAATTTAACTATTACCTATCAGGCCAACACTTATGTGCCACAATTATTGGTGTCCGAACATGACAGTCCAAGCTTCAGGGATTGTCAATCTCCCACTGCACTCAGCGATTCCTCCCGGTGACCTCCAGCAGGAGAGGTCAGTATTCCCTTTCCTCTATACAGGGGCAGAGCTTATTGGCACTTTTAGTTAGGTGACAGGGTCACTTTAATGACCATTAGGGGCTCCCCTGAATCTGCTGCTAAACAGAACCCCCGATTCTACTCTCACCCCAATACTAATACAAGCACCAATGTCCCAATGAAATCAGACAGGGCCAAAATACAAGTTAATGTGAGCCTATTGCTTGGCCCGGCAATGGGGCGAAGGGCAAGGACCAAGTTCTGCTTTATTGATGAGTGACCAGTCCAGACCGGTGTGTATCATGGGACCAGTCCAGAAGGTATAGAAGAACCCCCATGGTGCTCTCACCTCTCATTCAGGTTGTTCTGCTGCTCCGCCTGCATGGCCTTCTTCTTGGTCATTGTCTCGATCACTTCCCGCTGCTCGATCTCCTCTTCGTGCAGCTTCTGCTCCACCAGGAGGCGGCGGGACAGCAGGCGGTCATAGTCCTCCTTCAGGCTGGCGTTGGCGCAGACCAGCTGGACCTCTTTCTTCTCCAGACGCTGCCGCTGCAGCTGATGCCCCTCCATCAGCTCTAAGAGGACGGCCATGCTGCTCGGAGGAAGACCGACATCGGGGTCAGCCACTCCAGGAAAAACACCCAACAAAGTACTTTCTATTACTTTTTTAGGGGCCAGCTCCCCCCCTTGATGCTCATTGCAAGAATTGTGATGGACCTGCAGCTTTTGTTCCCAACACAGCGCACACGGGGTGCTCTGCAATGCACGTGAGACCTGCCTAAGTACATTGGGATCCCAGTAGGGAGGGCTGCCTAAGTACATTGGGATCCCAGTAGGGAGGGCTGCCTAAGTGCATTGAGATCCCAGTAGGGAGAGTTGCCTAAGTGCATTGGGATCCCAGTAGGGAGAGCTGCCTTAGTGCATTGGGATCCCAGTAAGGAGAGCTGCCTAAGTGCATTGTGATCCCAGTAGGGAGAGCTGCCTTAGTGCATTGGGATCCCAGTAGGGAGAGCTGCCTAAGTGCATTGAGATCCCAGTAGGGAGAGCTGCCTTAGTGCATTGGGATCCCAGTAAGGAGAGCTGCCTTAGTGCATTGGGATCCCAGTAGGGAGAGCTGCCTTAGTGCATTGGGATCCCAGTAGGGAGAGCTGCCTTAGTGCATTG